CGCGCTCCATGATGCGGTCGCTGTTACCCCTGCAACGGTTTCGATCGAGCTTCCAATAAACGTAATGTGTGTTCGCTGATCCATGGTCTCGCTGGCTTGAAAGATGAAAAAGGCAAGCATCGCTGAGCCATGTTGGTATATCGTCCGTCTGCGGACAAACTCCCGGACTTGAGACGATGCATTTCGTCCACGACTGTGCAGCGGACGGAAGAAGGTGTGTGGAGAAAAACACACATATACGCCAGCGCTTCAATGTGGTTCGGTGCAGCTACAAATAGTGCTGTTTTGCTACAACAGTCCTTGCCCACGGCTACAGTGGCACGCGGCCGGGCCAACCTTGGCAGAGTAATTAGCTACGACTAAATGTGGAAGGCACGCATGCCAGTTCATGAAAACCAATGCTGCCGCGGGCAACACGAACCACCCGGTGCATCAGTTCTCTCCTCAATCTCCGCATTTGCTACGCCATATCATGTCCTTGGCGCACTCCAACGTCCCTCATTAACGGCCCTGCAACGTCACATGGCCGTAGTCAGGCCGTAGTTTGCCTTGTGATTTTGCTGGGCTGAAGCCGTCGTGTTGTATTTCACCGGGGCTTCTGCCTGTGGGATGTGGTGAATGTGCAAGAACCAGTGCGCTTGGAGCCACATGCTCAGGGATTACGTTGCAAATTATGATGGGCCGGCCCGCTTACACGCGGGAGAAGCTCCGCGACAAGTACTTGTTGTTTAGTTGTCCAGAATTCTGTTGGCACTTGGTCGGTCCCTGTCGCTTTGTTGCGCGAACGTGAGGCTGCTGCATCTCCTCATCATTGAACGGCCCCGCGTCAACTGGTAGAGCCAAGCCAATTGGATGATCATTGAAATGGCACGAACGGCCCATTGTACGTCCGGAAAATGTTTTGCCAATGACTCTGCATGAAGTAACTTTCCACGACGTGCCGTCATCATCGCGCAAGTCCACATTCGGCTGCGAATCCTCTGCGTAGCTGTCCAATCATAAGTGGTCCAGCCAGCCACTCCGGCCCGCAGCAACGGAACGGCTGATTTGTTTGGATAGATCACGCTCCACAGAACCATCCTTTGATAACCATGCATCATCTCGTCGTTGCAAAAGAGATTAATTTCCGCTTGAAACCCAGAGCCGCTTGGCAATATGCAAGCGATTGCGCGGGTTGCGGCAAACATATATCAGCGGCGTGCTGAAAACCCCATGCCTTACAGGTCGGTATGGTCCGTGCTGGAAACACGCTGGCAGCCGCAGCCGCATCTGCACTCGGGCTTTCAGCCATGTCCAACCAACGCTCGTTGTGTGTTCAGGTGGTCGGGCTGCTTGTGTCTCTTGGTTCGCGCACTATTTTGCAACCCCCCGAAAACGCGCGATCCCCGCAGCACGGGCGACTGCGTTCCGGCGGTTCGTGCGTGCGCACGTCAGCCAAAAGCTCGTGCAAAGCGGGTTTCCCCTCCACCGCTGCACTCGTTGGCGGGTGCAGCAAAAACGCACACTGGCGCAAGCAAACAAACGAAGTCGTCGGCTTCAGATGCTTCAGGTGCCCAAGTCCCCAACTTCGAGGCCGAAATCGGATTGACTACACGGCACCGGCGTGCCGTGCTGAGCTCCGGGGCATGGTCGATCCAGCGCGGGCATGGGCCGTCCCAGAGCTCCCCGTCACACCCGACTGGGCTAACGAGGGTGGCGTCAACCGCGAAGCTGTGTCCTCATTGTCCATGCCAACGGTCGCAACCTATGACCCATGGCAACAACAACTTTTTAGTTGTTGTTTAAATTTTTCTTTTGGCATACGCACCTTGTCGAAGAGTATCGAACAGTGACGCGGTCCCAGTGCACGTGAAGGTTGCGGCCTACGGGCTGGTTCGGTTGTTCGATGTTGTTCGTTTCAGGGCGCCGGCAGGCGGCGAGCGACCAGCGGAGGGCCGCTTCGGACTTCGGCAAGGACTTCGTGGAGCCCGGCTGCGGGTCCCCGTTCCGCGCGACAGGACGCACGAGCATAGCGTCAAGCGCGAGCTGCACCCCGTGCCAGAACGGCAGGCCGTTTTTGCGACGACTTCAACGCACCGCGCGTCGCTGACAGGAACATCAATGTCCAATTTCAGCGAGCCGGACGTTGCGGGCAATTCGCGCGCTGCTTTCCCGGCAGACGCGGGCGACCGCATGCTCGAGCGGAAGGGCTCGGGACACCAACACTCCGGATGTGGCACAAGCGGAGCGGTGGTTACCGAGCGGGTCGAAGCGGCCCCGGCAACGGCAAGCGCGCGGCGCGAGGGGTAGTGGCAAACGAAGCCGTTACAGAAGGAGCACTCGGAGGTCGGGTGTCAGGGTGACAGCGGCTGACGTCGGGAGGACAGTGAGGGCACGGGTTGACTGGGGTCCAGCTTCTGAAAGCAGCAGCACTCAACTTCGTTCCACCGTGCCTAGCGCAGGAGAACATCACAGTTCATGTCGGCGAAACCCACATTGAGCGCAACCCGCACTCCAGCTTCGCGGAACTTCGCGGCAAACTTTCGCAGGTACAAAAACAGGCAGTGTATAGTCATCGACATGGAAATATGTGGAAATCGGGCATGTGTCTGCAAGATCGGCCACACCATGCTACACCCGACGACACATGACGGCCTCGGCTTCTGTTCAGTCACAGCAGACCGGCTTGCAGCACACTCGGCATCTTGTGCCACACGCTCCCCATGCTGCAGGCGCGGGCGCCGGCCGCGGCTGCTGGGATGCTGCAACCCGTTTCCGGATCAAACGCATCCAATCGCCGTTGCACAGCAATCACCAGCTTACTTCCGTCACAAAGCCACGCCGCATCACAGTGGGATGTACTCCAAATTGCTGTGTTGGCTCCCCGACAGCGACGAAGCCGTGATGACGAACGCGTGCTGGGGGCATTTTCCACTGTTATCCAGCATGCGAGGCCACTAATCGGCCGACATGGAGCGCTTCGATGGCGGCCGGAGGGGCGGGCATGGCAGGCTTGCACCAGTTGCTCAGCGGCGGCGTGCATGAGATTTTTTTCATTACCGATAAGAACACTTAAAGATACGTGCTAGTAGATGCTCGTTCGTCATTCCGGAACGTCCGGACACGGTGCCATGCCTGGCGCTGCAGACGGCGATGAAGAAAAGATGCGCTGGCAGCTCCCAGCTGCGTTCCGTATGAAAATCTACAATGTGTGTTGATGGGCGCGTCAGGCGGGGACGGGCGGTGTGCAGGGTCTTGAAGCCTTGAGTTCCGCCAATGTCGTTTCATGATCTTGCAACTAGCTATTAACTAGCTAAGCGCACGCCCAGCCGCAGATAACTTACCGAGCTGGACGAGGGCAGTAGCACGCGCGGCCCACGTCGCCTTCGCGTCGTGCGCAGCGCTCTGGTGTGCTGTGGTGTTGGTGGGGCCCCGCTCCCGCTGCGAGAAGTGTACTGGTCATGCCTCCCGCAGGAAGAGCGTGACGCGAGCAACACATGGTTCCGGTACAGAAGCATGCGAGGGGCAAGCACTGGGCAAGCACAAAAAGGTTCCAACCACGTATTTTGTGGTCAGGTGGTGCTTGGTCCGCAGCAAGTGGCAGGCCAGCCCACAAATCGAGGCGCGTTGCCCCTCGGACCCTCGCAGGAACAGTCTGCAACGTAAAAGCTCGATTTCGCATTTCAGTGTGGAGCGAGATCTCGCCCAGCGAGGCCAGGCCACGTTGGAAGCTTGCATCAGCTGCTATCAGCAGCTCGCCGTTGGGCTACAAGTTGCTGCAACACCGCTTGCTCCTAGGGGCCTCGGTTGGCGCTCATCAGTGGCTGCGTGAGGACCTCGTCCAGTAACCTCCTTCACGTCCTCCAGCCCGGCCCGTGGCTCGGGCACTGCGCTCTGCAATGGTATGCGCCCGCTCGTCCTCGTCCCGATCCGGGGCTTCAGCATCGAGTGCAGTCACCTCTTCACGACCATGCTCGTTGAGAGCAGGAGCATCGGGAGTGGGTGCTTAAGGCTGTGGGGGACTCTGCCGGGGCTCGGCCGCGTGCAGCAGCGACGGCAGAGCCGGGTTGCAGAGGCAGGCTTTGGGCGTCGACGGGCTGGGCGCGCTATGAGGCGAGCCAGACTAACTACGGGCCGCCGGACCAACGAGGAGAGTTAGCAGCGCTTCCTGCAGTGGTGCCGCGATGTAGTGGCCTTCCTGCGCGACCGCAATCGCAACAATGCGATCAGGCATGGCCCCGAAACCCATAACAGTGGTGTGTGAGACAAGTTCAGACAGAAGAAACTCAGCCACCAACATCCCTTCTTAGAACCCAAAATCGAGACCGGCATCTTGAACAACGAGGCACGAGTTGCCCCAGAGGGCGCCACCGTGGGGGTTCGATGCTTCCAATGGTTTCTACGACTTGCTGTTGTCTTGATCATGACACGGTGATATTCTCCATGGCCTCAGCGTCTATGCAAGGAACGAAACTCGCAACGACTGTTAAACATTGCCCCGCGTCTGTCATACTTTAGTGCAGCGCCTCAACGTGACCACACAAAGTTGCGCAGCAGGCTTGCATCAAACAACATCTTCCAAATGCTGCATCCGCCCCGCGCGCTTGTGCGCTCTAGTGCACTCTGCATGGGCGGGGTGACGGTGAGCTGAGTGCGATTGAGTTCTTGCTGTGGCATCATCCCAGGCAGCTAGGTTCTGCTCTTTTTTGCGGAAGCCACTACATCGTCCCACTGAAGTCGGCCGGAGCGCCATAAACCTACAGGACAAGCTTCGCAATCGCGATGCTCGCAAAGCAGGAGATGTCTCCTCAAACACGGCCTGACCTGATCCTGGTATTCAGGACCTCAGACCTCCCTTGATGCATAAGCTCGCACACGGACATTCTGATGTCTTTGTACATAGCAAGATGCGGTGTCATTGACATCGCAATCTCGCCCGAAGCCTGTAACCCCACACCCAGAATCAGAACCATCGTAAACCTCGTATGCACCTACCCTAAACCCTAAAACACTAAAAGGCCTCAATGCCATCGCCCCCCCAGCCGAGTGTTGCCCATCCGACCACCGCGTGTCTGCGGCCGCCCCGCCTGGAGGAGGGTGCTTTGCCGCAGCTCTTCCAGCGACTTCTCAAGCCGCACCAGCCTGAAAGCCAAACACTGGTTTGTGACGAGATATCTATGCCCAAACATCCATGTCTACAGTACCTATCTATCTCTCCATCCTCTCTATCCCGCATGATCTCCGTCTATCGATCGATCTATCTGCCTATACATGCATACATGCATGCATAATTACATACATACATGCATGCAGGCAGACAGAGACGGACGGACGGACAGACAGAAAGACAGGCATGCGTGCAGATCTTTAGACCGGAACGGTAGGTCTCTACGTACTGCGGAAGAGGACTGAAAGTGACTGGGACTGCCAGCTTAAAGACATACTGTACTACATCATTGCCCTACCTAAAACCGTCATAAGCCCTAAAACCCAATAAACCCTAAACCGCACGCAAAGCTTTGCACGCACACACACACACACACACACCTCTCGGCCATGTCTTCCACCATCTGCGCTTGCTCCGCTTCACCGGAGATGCCGTATTGCTTGCTTGTCGGTGCACACCACCAAAGGTAGCTACGACTGCAGACATCTTCGTTAGTCCATGGCCGCTCCAGCAGCAGTCCGTTGAACCTGGGACGTGTTTCTGCATGGCAAAAGGATATTTGTGTTCCTAGTCTGCATGGTCCCGAAATGCTCGGCTCGATTACTACAAGAATTACTCCCATCACCTTCTGGCCTTCCAATTTAGAGTCTCCTCTCTTGTCCCGATAATTTAAAAGTCCGCAATTCTACACGGTCCAGCTCGTGCGTTCGGGTTCGGGCTGCCTGGCATTGGGCTTTGAAAAACGAAATCTGGATGTAGTTTAAGAAAAACCATCATACGGGCCAAGAAGAACTAACGAAGAAAGCACTGGAAGGGGGGCTGAGGATCCGGCAGGTAGAAAGCCAAGGAGAGCAGCACTGCAGGAATGATGGCAGGACAATCTTCAATAAGAATACATAGAACCCATCCTCCGAATGCCAGAAAGGCCAAAACGAAGTAGCCCAGCTGCCACCATTTCCTCTGGTGGCCGCAGCACATGGGTAACCGTAGCTGCACCATGCAGTGCACACAAATGGAAGCCCTTTCCTGGAGGAATAGGTTGGTGGCATGCATGTGGGCTTCGGAGTATGCCCTTCCATGTACAGCAATAAATAAATTCAGCAAACTAATACAGAAGATGATCACCGCAACCATCAAGCTGGCCAGCGTGATGTAGTCCCCGTTGCCAGCCTCATCACCACGGTTGCCAAGCTTCAAGACTTGCACGATGCCATCGCCATCCACCATGAAAAGCAGCTTCACCGTTCCCACAAGAATTTTATAAGGGCCTTGGAGACCCCAAAGTGGCAGATTCAGCGTGCGGGGGGACAGTTATGTGAAGCCGAGGTGCCTTCGAGACCGTTGTCCAGGATCATGAAGGCATGCCAGAATCCGGCAAAAACGAAGCCACCTTTTCTGGTTGTCTTCAAGATAACATGTAAAGGCCCATCTGACCCATTTCCTATGCCTACACTCCTCAACAGCTCCCCCTGAACAGCCAATGTGGGAGTGCTCCTTGCTTGCAGCGGAGTTGCAGATGATCCCCATGCCCCCTATCTTCTTGACAGAGTGCAGAATGGGAATAATTCCTTTTACGCCAATCATGCCCAGCTTGAAAGCACGCAGTGCGAAAAGCATCTGGAACCAGCGAACAAAGACCAACAGGGCAAAAAGCTCCTCCTCTGCATCCAAGTTGAACTGGCCAGAATACAAAGCCTGTCCAACCACCACATTGAAGATGGAGATAACCGCGACATCCACGTAGTTGCCTCCATTGCCAAAATAAGACCCAGGGTTCTGAAGCTGGATGCAGTAGCCGTAGGCTTGGAAGGCTTCTATGTAGGTATCTCGAACAGCGCTTTCAAACATGAAGGTCCAGGAGATGCGGCGCTGCCAGTAAGGGACCTCAGGTGCCACCAAGAACTCTGTCTTAACACCCTCGCAGTCCTTGGGTTTGTTTTTTTTCATGGGGCCTGCTTGTTGTTGAAGTCCTGAGACTTGGAGTAGGTCCATGCAGACAGCACGATCAATTCCAGAAGCCGGTGCAGCAGCTGGAGTAAGTACCATTTCAACACGAAGGCATCCCAACAGTATGTCAAGGTTGCAGTGACGGCGGGATTTCTGAAAATCTCGACATACTTGGTCTCACTGAGTGCCTGCAACACCTCGGGGCAAACAATGCCTTTCAATCGCAGTTGCCGCATGTGCACTGGCTGCAAGTCGCGCGAGTCCACAAACTTTGGCTGGTTCGTCCGAGGGTTCGGTTGGCGCATCACAAACTTCGAGATGCGATTGGAAGGGGCGTGGGAAATCCGCCGTCCCTTCCGCACGGCGCGGGCGCCAGGGGCCAGGCGGTCATGCCAAGCGGGCCACGCCTTGGCCCTGTCACCGGTTTCAGTGTCGCATTTCCAGCTGTCGTCCGTGTTGTAGTCTGCCCTGAGCTCCTGCAGAGTTTCACGAGAACAAAAACCCACGCGAAGGAGCTCGGAGCTCTGAACTAGGTTACCGGTTACCGCACGGCTTATGCTCGGTCCTTGAGGATGGCCTGGTTGGGCAATGGATGGTAGTAGACGCTGTCCTCGTCAGGCTCCACGGTCAGGATTTCCAGCAGATAGTCTGCGGCATCTGGGGTGTTGTCCAGAAGCGCTATCCAGTGCTCGACCGTCAGGTTTTCCTCCGTCTGCAGCTCATCTGCGACGTTGGTCTTGTGCGCCACTTGGTCCGCCGACTCTGCACCAGCGTAGTCGCACAAAAGATTCCGAATGAACTCCGTTGTGGCACTGGGGCAGTGCTCGGATACGATCATGATGTCGCCAATGCGAAATCTCGCCAGAAGATGAAGCCGACGCTGAGGAAATACTCCGGACTCAACGGCCACCTGCAAAAGTGATCTTCCAAACACAAGCGATTCCAGCTGACCCATCGGTGTGGAGTTGGTTGTTGACTGATCTGTGTCTCACACTTGGCCAAGAAGCCACCAAAGCCCGTACAACTAGTTGCCCTAGAATTCCTCACCCCACCGTGCCGAAAGCATTACTCAAGCCCTGAACCCCAAACAGCCTCAATCCTGCATGTGCAGGTATGTATATATATATATATACATACATACACACATACATACTTTATACCATATACTATATACTACATATTACATGTACTACATACTATATATATATATATATATATATACATATATATATATACATATATACACACTCTCTCTCACTCTCTCTCTCTCTCTCTCTCTCTCTCTCTCTCTCTCTCTCTCTCTCTCTCTCTCTCTCTCTCTATATATATATACATATATATATATATATACACATTATATATATATGTGTGTAATATGTGAATTTGAAGCCTCCAGCGCGCTCCGCTGGCTCTCGTCCCTGAGCTCGGTGTCGGCCTCGTGGCGCACCAAGACCTCCGCCACCTCCGAAGCACCCATCCTGAGCATGTAAGTACAATATATAGTATATTATATATGTGCGTGTGTATACAGCTCTATTTATTTATTTATGTAACTATATGTTTACCTTCTATTTATATGTATATATGTAGATGTATGTACTTACAGTATGTATATGAAGTGTAAATCTGTATATAGAGATAGTACGGCCATTTTGGGTTTCCAAGGGTCTCGGGTTTTCAGGTTCAGGGTTGTCGGCTTGGGGTTTAACGTCCGTGCGCTCCGTTAACGGCCTCCAGTCGACTCGCTTGGAGCTCCGTGTTGGGTTGTTGCTGAAACGATTTACACGGATTTGTCAGGGTTCTATGCGTCTTGTCTACCAGCTCACAAGGTCATATAGGAGCTTATCTAGGGTTGGAGAGAGGAAACCTGTAAATTAAGCCTTCTGGCTTGCGCGCACAGCTCAGATTTCAGAGCCAAGTAGCTTTGCAGCCACATGGAGCGGAGTCATTCCTCGGGGGTCGGGAAAGCGGTGACAGGTCTGGTAGGGGCTTATAGGGCTTAGGGGAACTTAGGGGTGGGTTCGGGGGGAAAAAGTGTAGGGAGGGTGATTGAAGATGGTGCTTTCTGACCGCGGCACGATCCATGTTCAGCGCATTGACGCTGGCAGCCTTCTCCAACAAGTACTGGACCATGTCGACATCGCGGAAGAACACAGCCTGCGTTGGCACTTTGCAATGGGAGTCAACGGTCGACAGTAGCCAACAGTCGCGCGGGCGCGAAGATATTTTCACACTGAAAGCGAAAAAGACTGTGCAAGCAAGTGTCGTCGTGGAGAGGGCAAAAGTGATCTGAACCATCCACCTTGACTCGAGCGTTCACGTCCGCGCCAGCATTTATCAGCAGCTGAACGTTCTCCAGACAGCCCTGCAGAGTCTTAAGACATGTCGTCAGACAAAAAAGCCTTCATGTCGTGGACTCAGAGGACACGACACATGCAAATTCCTCCTCTGATTCTGATGCGCGCCTGCACGGCCAGGTGGATGGGCATTGCCCGGCCCTCCTTCTCGAAGGTCATGTAGCGGCACTCCACGTTGATGTCGACGTTGAGGTCCAGGAGCTGCTCGAGGAGTTGCCCATCGGATTGCAGCGCAGCGATGTGGATGGCCCCGCCCGTGCACTTCCGCTTCTTGTACTGGCACGCAGGGCACAGCAACTCTTAAGACACGCAAGTCACAGGAGTTGGAAGAACGCCGCTAGTAATGCTAGTACGGCAGCTCGGAGGTTGCAAAATGCAAGGCCGGGTCCTGGAAGGTGAAAGGATAGGAGCCATCCAAGAGCGATCTACAATTTGCAGAGTCCATCCCTTCTTCCAGAACGGTGTAGATCTCCTCCAGCTGACCGTCGAGGGCCTGGTGCATGACCGCGGTCTGCGTTCCGCCCCCGGACTTGTTAGTCTTGGTTGAGAAACCTGCCAGCTTGGCAGGCGACAAGGTGTCAGCCCCAATGCTGGTCAGCGGCACAGTTCCTTGCGGGACCACCGAATGCGGCAAGGCCCCTTCTGTGCCGCCCGTCAGCGGCATGGTTCCCTGTGGAACCACAGAGTTTGGCAACACCTCATCCATGCGCCCTAGTACGGCACAGGCTCATAGCTCGGCCGAGGTCTTTGAGTCTTCCAGTCTTGAAACAGGAGGCCTATCCCAACTAACTAACAGAACCTCGGCATGTAGTTCCCACAGTTACCACATCATGGCTTACCCCAACGGCTCAGCAAGCTGTCAGAGCAGAAAATTAGTGAGCGAGGTCACGGAAAACAGGCCTGATCAAGCGCGCATGGCTCAACAGACTCAACCTGACATCTTTAGAACTCTCCTAACTCGGAGGTTCCCTGCCAAAAACCCTTTACTGAAAGACCCTGCCCCCGCAGGCTTTTCTTTACTCCTCCAAAGCTTTCTCGCTGGCCGCGCGCCGCGCCCTCCGCTCGTCTTGCAGGAGGCGAACCTCCTCCCTCTCCTTCCTGGCGGGAGTGGGAGGCTCGTTCGAGCTTCTGCAGGTCTGGGGAGGGGGCTTCTTGCTGGAAATCCAAGCAAAGGGAGATGAAACAGCCGCTCCGAATCAGCTGTTGCAAGCAAGGCCGGAGTGACTCCGCCACGTCTGACTGCTTCTGACTGCGCAGGAGGCAGATGGAGGGTGGCATCACATGCGAGACTCGTGCAACTCTCAATGAACGTTTCTACTTTCGGTGTATCCGACCCTCAAACAAAGCATTCACACCGCACCCAGATCACAGCCTGATCAGATACTGCAAGAAAACGATGAACAGGATCAGCGTCGGGATCATCGGGCTCTTGGCACAGAACCACGTAATGAACTGACACATCACATCCTGATGCATGCCGCTTCGAAATCTGAGATCCGTTCACGAAAGTCCCAGTGCTGCTCCGGGACCTCAGCACTGTGGCTGAAACACAGATTTCCACCGCCCTCTGCAAAAGCAGTGCACGAAGCAAGAAGAGTAAGCTGAGCAGGCTTTATCTCGACTCAGTTGTGATCTGC